CCTTAGTCACCATCCTCTTTGAGGTTACACATCTCCCTGTTTAATATGCTGAGTTATACTCACTAAGCAACAGCATGGAGCTGCTGACACAGTACTGGGGAGTGATTTATCCTGCAGGCTAATCTCCAGCAAAATGGAGTGATTTTAAAATCTATAAATACTGGGTGATTATAGACTGGAGACCTGCTTATGGTACTGTTATAATTCAGCTTTTTCAAAAGTGTATTTATTTTGGGTTAGTTTTACATTGGGGGAACCTGAAATGTGTTCTGGGAAAAGCAGGAACGGTAACCCTTTCAATAGAAGCCACTAAAAATTATTCAAAAATTGGATTTTTATAGTATATCAAGTATTTCCACCAGGAATGGAGCAAGAAGGAAGCATAATATGAGAGGGGGGCATGTCTCCATGCTCCTAATAGCAATCTTACTTACCTTGAGGTTTCATGGATTAAGGGATTCATCCTGTTTGCAGTTTTCAGTGGGAAACCTTGTGATTTACTCCTCTGGCTTGAGCTCTCCCAGGCAACACTGGGACATTTTCAAGAAGCTTCGTGCTGTTGCTCCGTTGAATAAAGAACTGCATGAACACAGCAAGGGCTCAGAGACAAATCTGGGTGGGATTATCAGAGACTCCCTGCAAGGCACAGCTCACATCAAGGCACTCAGCCCTCACCCCGAGCCTGGGGCCCAAGCCTGGCCCACTGGAAAAGCAAAGCCGGTCCAAATCTTATTTTTTAGAATACAGGAAGAGGCAGGTTACAGATTAAAAATAAAGGCTGTGTTTCTACCTCTGAAGCTGGGCAGTTTGTGAGGACAATGGGAGCCTGGTATGTTTGTTTGAGGATATTTATTCAGTTATGCTTCCTGCTGAATGGGACCAAAAAAAAATAGTATGGGGCATGCACATATAAGTGAATTACAATTTCAGTTTAATTATCTGCTGATTATTTTCTTTTGAGTCATTAATAAAACTGACCAGCATTTTGGAATGGTTACATTAGGGCTCTCATGGTTGCACTGGAACACGCCCACTATGGTATGGAACATAACCACTATGGTTAATGAACTCAGTTCATTAACACTGAATGAGGTTAGGCACAAATTTGGAAAGTGCAACATGCACAACTTGAAAACTTATTTATGAAATCTTTTCCTAGGCAGGCATTCCAAAGTACCTCTGGCAGTGCAATGCCTGTAGTGCCACATGTTGTGGAGCATACACAGCAAGGCACAGGCACTCAATTTGAACAGGAACTAATCCTTGCAGAAGATCCTGCCCTCTGTGCTTGTTAATTCTGCTCCTCCAAGTGATTTCTTGCTAATACAGCACACCTTTAGTGACAATCCGTGGCTTAAGCCGTGTAGCTCAGTGGTTTTAAACTCGTGAAGATGTGCACTAATCCTCTCTGCGCTCTGATAAATTGGCTTTGGTGCTGTTAAAAAGCTGAATTTGTGGAGGAGACCTGTGTTTGCTGGAGTGAGGGTCGTGCCCTTGCCAATGCTGCTCTCCAGTCAGAGGTGCTGCCTGGTGCCCTGCAGTCACCCAGAGAGGTGAACACTCCCCTGCACGTTCTGGGGGGCAGTCACGGTTTGTGGGACTCTCTGAAGAGCATTCCCTCATTGAACCTTCCTGACTGCACCTTGAGGACCCATTGGTAGCAGCAATTTTCAATGTTGCCCTCTCATTACAGAAAATAGGGGTAAGAGAGGGAGGAATAACCAGGGCAAGGGGAAAGGCTCTCTCTGCTGTAAAAATTCCTTCCAAACTTCAGAAAACTTTTACAGTGTGATGGAGTAGTCATTAATTCCCTACAATTTGAAATGAAATTATCAGAAGACAAGGCTTCTTTTTCAGACTGAGAAGGATTTGAATGGCTGAAGTGTGTTTTCCCTGCTGCTGCCTGCAAGCTTCCCTTCAGTCACATTCCCAGGCACTGCCTTGTGAACAAACTCAGCATCATCTGTGACCTATTGCTACAACACCTACACCTTCTAGAACTGGAAAAGACTAATGAAATCAAAGGCTCTGAGTCCAGCAGAACTCAGGATTTTTTTCCCAGTGCAGTTTTTCAAAAAGCATTAAGAAAGTATTGTTACAGCATCTGCTAAAAAATATCCATCACCGTGCAGGTGACAATTACTTTTCAGTTGTAAGGCAAAGCTTGTGGGTAAGTGTATTATGGCCTCATTCCTAATAGTGCATTCAGCACATGTGATCCATTCTTTTCCTGGGCAGTTCATTGATGCAGTTCATTAATGCAGTTCTATTTTAGCTCTTCTTCTCAGTGACCAGGGGATGGCAGGAGGCTGTACCAGGGGAGATTTGGGCTGGACATCAGGAAAGAGGCTTCACCCAAGGGGTGGCTGGGCACTGGAACAGGCTCCCCAGAGAAGAGGTCACAGCACCAGCCTGGCAGAGTTCCAGAAGTGTTGAGACAAAGCTCTGAGGCACAGGGTGTGACTCTTGGTGCTGTTCTGTGCTGGGAAGGAGCTGGACACCGTGATCCTCGTGGGTCCCTTCCAAATCAGGATATTCTGTGATCCTCTGATTTTTCCTTGGCATCTGAATTCAGCTCCTAAAACATTTGTATAACAATTCATTTACCTATAAACTTCTTGATAAAAATTGGATAAAAGTTTTTTAAATGTTCATTAAGGATGATCGAGTCAGGAATGGAAACTTTTGTATTTGGTAGTGGCAGTAAATTTAGAGTACTCACAGAATGAATTCCTAGTCACCACGTGGAGCACTGGAGCCGAATACACAGTGACTTTGCCACAGCTCACAATGAGAAGGATGCCAAAATACACAGTTAAAACAACAGATAGCTGGTGGGATTCTTTGTGGTCAGGGAAAACCTGATTCAACAACACTGCCTTTTCTGAAGGGTGGTGACCAATTCAGGAAAAAACAACCTCTCAACATTTGCAAGACTGACAAATTCCCAAAAGGTGGCTTCAGTCAATAATATCTTTAAATGGCTTATGAAATTCTGGTCCCCTCAGAGTTGCAGCACAAGAGAGAATTTCACAGCTACCAATGTTCAGCACCTTGGAGCTGGGGAAATACATTTACATGTACATTTACATTTACATTTACATCTACATTTACATTTACGTGTTGGAAGTTGCTCTCACAGCAGGAAGGACAAGTGAAAACTTTGCTTCCTGTTTCCCTGGTTATGTGTATCAAGCTGATCCCTGGGAAAATTTCAGAGATCAGTTATTTTCTTGTAATGTTAAGGGCAGGTGTTAGCCAAGGGAAATTTCTCCTGGCTGTGCTGACGCCTCTTTAACCTGCAGGACTTCTCACAGCATCCCAAGCAGGGATATTTTGCACTCTGATCCTCCCACCAAGTGAGTCAGTGACACAGTTTGTTGCAGCAGGTTTGCTTCCAAGTGGGAGCTATCAAGAGGCACTGAACAGTCTGAGTCATAGCAGCCACCAAGATATTATCCCAGCCTTTATTAGCTTTCCAGCCACCTGAAACGCTGATCTTCAGAATGGAAAAGGTGATGGGGTTAAAAGCTGGTTGTTCCTGACAAATAGTCCATAATATCAGCCTTTTCCTTCTTTGACTGCATCTCTTAAACAATAACACAAGCACCTACTTTTGAATGACTGAATGTATTTGGTTTTTTCTTTGGATGAGCTGTGAGCTAAAGCAAAGATGCCTCTCTTGAGCAGGGATCAAGTGACCTGTAGAATTCCCTCCTGACACACCATTTCTCTACAGCTCTGTGCCAGCAATTCTTTTTGTCCTGCTTATGTCCCCTGCTAACTCATGAGGTGACATAAAGTGGCTGCACAGGCTCTGGGCATTGATCTGAGCAGCTGCCTCAGAGACAAACCTGTGCCAGGAGCTCTTTCTGGGTCTTTTCCCTCTCCTGCTGTGTCATCCACCACCCTTCAGCTTTTGGAGAGAAGGAGCCAGCTTGGGAAAGATGGGAAGCTATTGCACAAAGCTAAGTAAGCAAGATAAACAGACTCCACAACAGCTGCGCTTCCCTTCCCTATAAATCTTGGAATGTGGCCTTGAAATTGCTAATTTCAAGGATCAGGTAGTTTTTTTTTATTTTTTTTTCAGTCAAGAATGAAATATTAAGTTACAGGCAGCGGGTCTGTGAAAGCGTGAATTCACTGCTCAGTCAAAAAAAATGCAAATCAAATCAAAGAAATAATTTAATACAATCTTTGCTATTTTTAATGAAAGAGCTAGACTTCCCTCTTAAAAAAAAAAATATAAAAATGATGCTTTGTAACTGCAAACGGGGTTTGCAAACTTTCTAGTGCTTTTCTGGAACCCTGATGCCATCAACACAGGAAAGGGTTGCAAACTACTCTATCAGTGAAGCAGATGGATAAATTTACTGGAGGGAGCTTGTCTGTGTGAGGTACAGGGAGCTGCTGTTGTTATTATTGTTATTATTGTTATTATTGTTATTATTATGATGGACAATTAATAACAACTCTTGCTCTGCTTCTGGTGGAGACTTTCCCGTTGCCATAGACACTTCAGACCTGTCACACCTGAGTTCATGCAAACCTGAGAGCTGCACAAAGCTTTGTCCTGCCCAAACCATTTTTAATTTTTTCTCTGTGAATGACTCTGTGGGTTTCCTCCTGCAGGCCAGAAGGAAAAGGCACAGGCATTCGTGGCTGCTTGTCAGAGAAACAGGCAAATCACTGAAAAACAGAATAGAACAAAGCTTTTCCAGTTCCTCACAGGGCACCCCATCATTTAAATGTGTGTCATCAGCAAGGACTGAGTGCTCTTTAACCGCATTTACTCCGGAGAACTTTGGTGGTCTAGCAGCAGAGTGACTCGAGTTTTGCATGCACATGGATGGCTGTTTTATCAGATATGCTTCAAAATGAGAATTTAGCTTTTACTGCATAACTGTAGCTCCCTAAAGGTGTATTTTTGGCTTTTACTCCTGCTAGAAGTAGAAAAATTGCTATTATTGCTTCACATTATCTTTCTTTTCTTGGAACAGGATAACGTGGATCTTGGTGACCTGATGTTTTCGCTCTGCTACCTTCCAACAGCTGGTAGACTAACTATTACAATAATAAAGGCAAGAAATTTAAAGGCAATGGATATCACAGGAGCATCAGGTAGGAATGAATTTAATGCTCAGTGTGGATTTCTATCCCATTTCCCTCCCAAGGCACAGAATTCAACCCTGTCCAAATCCCAGAATGATTTTTGAGAGGAGGGTTGTTACACTGCGAGCTCTGCTTGAGTACAGGAGTTGATGAGTAATAAATAATACATTTTAGTTTGCTTAGCTCCAAGCAACAGTTTAAAATAAGTTGCTCTCTCGAAGAGACTGCGAGATTATTATTTCCAATGTCCCTGTAATTCAGAGCTGGCCAAAATGCATTCCCAAGGCTGGGAATTTGTGCAGCAGACTGTTAGAGCTGTGACACAGAGGCAGACTGGCCCTCGCTGACAGCCCCCAAGAGCCACTGAGCCAGCTCTGCTGTTGCTGGCATGTGGAGAAAGCAGTGATCACCCCAGAATCCTTTCAGCAACCCTTTCAAAAGCCCACAATAAAAATTATAAATATAAATAAGGTTTCATAGACGACTTTTAAATACTAGCAGGGAGTTGTAGAGCTCTCAGAAAGGAGCTACAAAGAAACAGCTCTCTTTATTCTACCTGCAGGACTCTAAAAATAATTATAATTCTCTTGAGAAATATAAGCCATTAATTGTTGCCCTTTGAATTGTATTTAACCATACATCAGTAAGTCCCGTTGTGAAAAACATTGTCATCTTCTGTCTGTCCTACAAATCTAACAAGTAATTAGACTGCTATAAATAGGCTGATACACAGGCTGTTGTATAAAATAGTCATGTATAACACGCTTCAGTGAATATTTTAATACCCTTTGAGGAGCTAGTACACAACAAAGAGCTTCTTGAACCTAAAAAGTTGATTATAAGCAGGTAAAGCTTTCAAAGCTGCGCTGCCTCCCGTGCATTCCACGGTAACAGAGAAGCTCAGATCCCAGTCAGGTCCAGGAGATCAATCCTGCAAGCAGGTATGGGCACACAAGAAGTCTCCCTTCACTTTCCATCTGCATTTGTCGAAAATCAACGTTGTTCTTGTGACCCACACAGATCCCTACGTGAAGGTTTCTTTAATGTGTGAAGGAAGGCGGCTAAAGAAAAGGAAAACTTCCACCAAGAGGAACACCCTAAATCCCGTTTACAATGAAGCCATAGTCTTTGACGTCCCTCCAGAAAACATTGACCAAATTAACTTGTCGATAGCTGTTATGGATTATGACCGGTGAGATGCCTGTAGCTGTCAAATGTTGGCTGGGAAAGTCTTGCACGCTAGATTTGCACCCAGAAAGAAAGTTGGTTTTATTTTCCCTGTAAGTGGGGAATTCGTGTCGCCTTGAGCTTGGTAGAAGCCTTCAATTTTTTTGTTTTGTCGGGCAGAATTTCCTGACTAGATTTTTAAACATAGATTAGTGATGAGTGACATCAGGAAGCTGCATCTGTGCCCAGCAGAGCTGAGTTGACTGGGCGTTTAATCGTTCTGTTTGTGCATTTCTGCCAAGCCTTTGCTCACACTCCCCATTTATAAAGTTGTGTCTCAGAGCCTTCTTGCCTTTGCAGCTAATTACAGAGCACGGGCAAAGAGCCTTTTGTGTGCTACGAGGGGGGGAATATCAAATTGTTCTGAGCAGTGGGCAGCACAAAGAGCAAACCCACGCATTTCCTAGCGCGCTATAGCTCCGGGCAAGCATTAGTCCTAAAAATCCACGGCTGACGCTTCTGATGAAATATACAAACGGTGTGGTTCCCAAGGTAAAATTTTAAGAAACAAATGTTATGGACCATTTTCACAGTGTAGGTCACAATGAGGTCATTGGAGTTTGTCAAGTAGGCAACGATGCAGAGAGCCTAGGTCGCGACCACTGGAACGAAATGCTCTCGTACCCTCGGAAGCCCATCGCTCACTGGCATCCTCTTGTGGAGGTAAGGCTTTGATTTGTTGCTTCCCCCCTGCAGCACTTGTGAATATTCTCCCACACGGCATTAGGAGTTGGACAGAATTTTGTGAGCGAGCCCGAGATCCGCGCGCGTGAGGTAAATCCTAGAAAAGGGTTTGGAAACGCTTTAAAATTGAAAGGTGACACACGAGTTAAGTCTGCTCCTTTCCATGTTAGGGAGACAGAAGGTTACTGTTGTCTATAATATATAGACATGAAAACACCAAACACTGCACAGTTGAGGGTTTGGTTTTGCCTTTTAAATAAGATCTTGGCTAACTTTCACTGTTAATTGATAGAAAGAAAAGGACCTTGTTTACAGAACAATCAAGACCAATTCTCTTTTTATATGCAACAGCCTAATTTGACTTCTTTTCTTGTAACAATATATCATCCATGGCACTAGCACATCTCAAAGGATGCCTAACTGCACTGAAAAAAAATATGTTTAAGTGTCTCTGGAGATCTGAGGCGCTGATAAGAAGCGACACAATCAGAAAAGCTTTTCAAGGTTCCTATGTTTTTTTTTGTTTTGTTTTGTTTTGTTTTTTGTCTTTAGGGCCCTATTCAGCAGGAATGTTATGCAGGTCTTCTGCGCTTGGATGGCTGCCGAAGAGGCTTCCTCACCCTTTTAACCTATTCAGCAGAAATTTGGCATTCCTGTTGAACTCTTTCTTAGCCATATCCTCAGGGGCTATTCCACAGAGTCCAGTGGGGTAAAGATGTCCTTTTAATCCCTCTGTCTAATCCTCTCCCCAATACAGGGAACACTAATCCTGGTTCATGAGACACAAAAATTCATCAAAGATCGAACTAAATTGCTTCCTAAAGTTACCCTGGCTTACTCCCATTGTTGCTTTCACTGGCTGAGTCAGGCAGTACTCCCAGTCAAAGGGAAATATCTTGTTTATGAGCAGCCCCCGAGTTCTCCTCAATGCTGAAAGACAGGAAAGAGCACAGCACCCACACCAAGCCAGGAAAGATGCTGTGGGCACTACAAGGCAGGCAGTTCTCAGCCCCTCCGAGTTCACTTTCTGCACCAGAGTGCAGCTGGGTTACCACAGTGCCACTGAAGTGCTCCCTGCTTGAAATGAGCACCGGCCATAGGCAGTTCCAGAAAAGATTGTCAGGCATTATGAAGATGCTGCAAGCCGGGAGGAGTCCCACAGTCTTGTCCTGTGTCCGTAAGGAATTGCGTTTCCTGGTGCCTGGGCACCAGGGCAGCACAGCTGGAGCAGGGAGTGCCCAGGGGCTGTGTGGCAGGAGGAAAGCTCCATGCCCTCTCAGCACAGCCAGCAGTGGGGCAGCTCTGCCCAGGGCAGATGCTGGCTGAAGTGCCACGCTTGAAATGCTGACCTGGGCATTTGGGAGCTCTCAGCTGTGGCCAAGAGTTGATAGGAATGTTCTGGCACAGCACACGAGGTGTAGTGTGAGGGGTGCTATTGCCCAGAGCACAACAAGTGTCTCTTAGCAGAAGTTGTCTACATCCTTATATCCAACCTGTCTTCCCTCTTTGATAAATTTCATTGCAGCCAGAGCCCACAATTAGGTTTTGACAGCTCTTCCCTTTTCACAGGCATCCTGTTCTTTTCATACATGCCTGGCTAACTTCTTTAGATTTCATTACTGTGGATTGCTTTTCATGTCACTGAAAGCTAAACAGAGCCATATTTTTTTTCCTTCCCAGGAATCAAGTGGGGGAGGGTGTCCAGCGCATCCAGGCTGTGCAGAGAAATATATACACAGCATATCATTTTGGTTCCTGAATCAGGACTAGACTCAGCGAGAGCTTCTGGAACCTCTGTGGCCACAGCCATAGGACCCTGAATATTTGCTGAATAGGACCCTCAGTCTTCTACTGTGTGAAGAGCTATTGGTTTCAAGTAGCGTGATGTTATCCACTTGTAGCATTAATTCTCCAGCTGACACTTCTGCTACTGATAGATTATTTGTATGGTCGTAAGCATTACCCAAATTCAAGTCTTCATTTCTGTTCGGTAGAATAACCCAGGTTCCACAAGCAAAATGACAGCAACCTAAACCAACAAATATGGGAAGCAGCAACAAATATTGTCCTTGTATTTGCAAAAAAGGTGCAGTATTGTGAATGGTTAGCTTTCTGAGTATCTTTTTCTTTTCAAGAATGATTGCCATCAGATATTTATTTTTTGATGACAAGTTGCGTCCTCAGTGTCAGCTGGTGCCTCCTTTCACCTGACATGAAAACAAATTAATACGGTTCCTTGCAGAAACCCTTCAAATCTGAAAAACTGTAAAAAAAGTTCTGCTGGGTGAGAACAAGATGCATATGGTATTTGTAATGACAGCATGTTCTTTGAGAAAGGAGATAGCCATCTGTAAAACATGGAGGTTGTTAGTCCTCAACCTTTGGAGATGATTTTCCAGTCGACGTTTCTGAGTCGTGTCCACAGCGCTGCAAACTGTTGGAAGCGTGTCCCAGGTGGCAATGCTGGATCATACAAACAAGCACACACACCCTGTGTCGTTTGAAAACGCTGTTCCAAGTCTATAGTGCCTGTGAAGACTTCCTTTATTATTTGTGGTAGAATTAGCAGGGCTGTTTTACATGATGGTATGTTGTAAATTCTGACAAATTCCGACCATTAAAAGAAAATGAATCTAAGCACTGCATTCTGTCATGTAATGAAATTTGTGCCCCAAAGCAGGAGACCCTGGGATAAATTTTTCCCCACTTATTTAGCCACGCATGGAGTTCTCTCATCCTCCAGTATTTTCTACAGAGAACTTGACTCACGTCTTTACCTGGGAATTTTTTTGTTTAAAAGATGCAAAGTATGGATGTTTTCTACAACAGAGCTGTCTGCTGTGTGCTTACAGAGAGGGAGCCCTGGTTGTTAAGTAGAGTTCAGATAAATTAATGTGCACACACATTGCTTCACATCTTGTATGTGACGAATGTTCACCAAGAGTTTTGGATCTGCAGCTCTGCTGACACAAATTATGCATGCACAGATTGAAGAAATATCTAAAATTTTGGCCTCAAGTCTGAAAAGTTAGTCCCATAACCTATCAGTGCAGATCTTCAGAATTCAGAATTCAGAAAATTAGAATTACTTGTGAGTAGAGAATGTCTTGGAACTTGCAGGAGATCTTGGATCTGCTGTGAATGTATGCTGCAGGTATAAATCCAAATTCCTGTAAGCACAGCGGTTTTCAGAAATCTCTTGCCATGCTGTGCAGAGCACAGCTGCCACAGGCAAGGACATACCTGGCAAACTAAACAACACTTCCAAACCTGCCCAAGCACAATTTCAGGAGGACAACTGCTGGCATTTCCAAAAGAATGAAAATAATGTTCCACTGCACCTTCAGCTTTCTATCAGGAGGCCGGTGGTAGATGACAGTGTGCACATCTGCTCATGCATGAGCCTCCCTTGGGGCAGAATCCTGTGCTCTTTACCCAGGCTCATCTCCCAGGAGCCACAGAGAGGAGATGGGCCTGAGCAAAGCAGGAGGAGCTCTTCCTTTGGAGTGGAGTTCTGTGATTTCCCGGATAAATCATTCTGCATTTCACCTCTGCCCGGAATGCAGAGCCAGGCATGCTTCCCATGGCAACATTAGCAACAGAAACTGCTGGGAAGGGGAGAACTCCTACACAACAGGCTCAGTGTGTCCCTGGAAAAGTGCAGGAGCCTTTCTAGGATTTGTCCCCAGCAGCTCAAAGGGGCATCAGCTGAAAAGTGGTATCATTATAATTGCCAGTGGGTTGCAGTTCTTTTATTTTATTGCCATGCTCGGTTTATTTAATGCTCAAGGGTCTAGCATCAAAAGAATTATTTTGAACGGTGTTCTACTAAAACAGGGAAAGAAATCTCTGTGACAGTGAGCATTTAAAGTGGAATCCAGCAGACTTCAAAGGCTTAGAGATGAGGAAAACCCCCTAAATTTATTGAATTCTCGGAATTTTTGCTCATGACTTGCCAACTGTAACTCAGGCTGTGGCATTACTATGTGCTTTTTACAAATACCTGCCTTACCATAGTAGTGCATCTATGGAATGATAGATATTTTCTGTATTTGGATACTTCACTCTTCACCTTTATACTCCACTTTACCAGTGATATTCTCTAGACCCAAAATATTTTTGTGTTCTGGTTCTGGTTGGCCAGTAGACTGCTGCTGCTGCTGTCCTCAGACTGTATTACAAAAACACCACAGCCTGCTGGAAGGACCAGAGGATGGATAATTCTGCTACAAACTCAACTGGAAACCCAGGGAAAGCTATGGTCCCAATGCTGCTCAGTCTTTCTTTTCTGAGCTGTGATTCTCAGTGGTAAATTAGCAGCAGACTCACAAGAATGATTTCAAAGCTGAAGCCCTCATTTGTTTTCTTATTTGCTGTGAATGCATTATTACACTGTATGACAAGTATCATAACTCTAAAATAGAAGAGAAAATTGGTTAGAAATGCATCTCAGCAAGATCTTAATCCCATTTTTCTCTTTAACAACGTGCTATTAAATGGTTACTTTCAGTTTTCCGTAACGAGCCCCCGTGCCAGGTGTTGTTCTGTGGAAAAGCAGCGAGTGGCCATGGGAAAACCTCCCAAGTTTCTGACAGTGAGGCCGAGTCCCACGGACAGTGGCCTGGTACTCCCATGACAAAACACTCACAGCACAGCTGAGTGCTCAAATATTTCTTTATCTGCTTCCACTGAAATCACAAGACGTGAAAAGCATTGCTTTTTCCTTTTATTTCGCTTTTCCCTGCAAACAGCCCCGGCAGTGGATGAGCAAACATTCATCTCAATCTGGGGAAGTGGGGACCACAGAAAACAGAACAGAAAACCAATATGTAGCACAGAAGACCTGGTGTTAAAACTGTTGTTACCAGCCATTGCATGACTCAGTTTTCCATGCCAGCAGGTCCATAAAACACAAAAGCAGCAGGTATGAGACACTTGTTACATCAAGTTCCCTGGTAGGGGAACTCCTGGATCAACACAAAATGAAACAACAGCAAAGGGCAATGCAAAAGAATGAAAAAAAAAAAAAAAAGAGGTTATTTTAGTCCACCCTTCTTGGTTTGAGAGGATTGTTGTTGAGGGGGCTTTTGGGTTGTTTTCATTCTTTGGTTTGGTTTGGTTTCATGTGTTTTAAACACCAAGCATGGTATGTAGCTATATTAACATGAGAACCCAAAGCCAGAGCCACAAGAGATATATTGATTTATATGTTTATCACCTGGCAACATTTGAGCACTTGAGGAGATGTGTCTGCAATTGAAATTTAAAAAAAAAAAAAAATAGATGAAAACTCTTTTGGTTTAAAAGTAACAAACAACAAACGGGGACCAGGAAATTCAGTTGAAAAATCTGTTTGGCCCAGCTAGAAATCTGTCTGAAATGACTTTGCTGTTAATACACTTTGTTTGAACAGAAGGAAGTGACAAAAGTAGATCAGGTGACTCCATCTGAAGTTTCATCAATGAAATGCTTTTTTTTCCCCTTTAGAACAGTGCATTGCCAAATGATCACATCTCAGTATCAAGAGAGAAAACAATGGATTTCTTACCTAGTAGGGGGAAATGAAAAAGCATGTAGAGAAGGGAATCCACAATACTGTAGAACTCAAGAGAAGCCCCCGTGCTGCGAAAAAGGGCAGCAGGACGGACTTGGTGCCAGCATCACCTGGAATCCTGGTGCCAGCATCACCTGGAATCTTGGTGCCAGCATCACCTGGAATCCTGGTGCCAGCATCACCTGGAATCCTGGTGCCAGCATCACCTGGAATCCTGGTGCCAGCATCACCTGGAATCCTGGTGACAGCACGGTTCAGAGCTGAAGTGACAGCCCTGCTGTGCCAGGTGCCCAGGGCTGGCCAGCTCCAAGGGCTGTGCTCACAGCTCCCCTGCCATGGCTGGGGTGGGCAGGGAGCCCCAGCTGGAAGTTCTCCAGGGCCCTGCAGTTCTCCGGGGGTGCATCCATGTCCTCGGAGACCCGCCAGGGGCAGGGAAGGCGCCGCCGGCGGAGCGAAGGCACGGAGGGGAAGGGGACGGGAGGGTTTGCAAACATCTGAGCTCTTCATTTGTTCATTCTGCCCGGGCTCTCTGGTTCCTGCTCCTTTCTGCTCAAACGTGGACGTTGTCCAAGGGAGCTGTTTCACTCGGCTGCGTGCCCGCCTCGGTCCCCGTGGCAAAGGCGCCTGAAGAGAGCTGCGCCGTTTGGGTATAATTTTGGTTTTGATAACACATGAGCATTGTACTATACTTTATTATTTCTTGTTCAATAAATAGTCCTGGTATCTCTATGTTTCATGTCTAATTTTGGAGAGCAGGGCCGTACCTGTATCAAGGCTCTCTCAGTTAGGTGGGCATTTTGTTCGTTTAGTAGAAATAATGCATGATTCCTTTCGCAGTGGTGGTTTGAGGGACAAAAGAATTCTTAATTTTGTAATATGTATTACAATCTTCTAAACACGAGTTAAAATGTACTGTGATTTATTTATATAAATCTAGTCTGAACAAATAAGTTTTGATCTTAATAAAAACTGTAAGAAATTGTGCAATTGTAATTTATTACTATTTTGTATTTAATAAATATTAAAGTTCAATTCATTATTCAGAAAGCCAGCAAACACTTTGGGAACGTTTTTGCTCAGTTTTTCTCCACAGATAATGTGTTTTGATAAAGTATATGAGGCCAGAGAGAGAAAAAGCTTTTAAATTTACAGCACTCACACATAATTTAGGAGTTTGGATACTGAAACCTCCTCATGTTTCATCCCATCTCGACAGTCATCGTGGCAGAAAGATTATTTGACATATCACTGGTGAATCTCATCTATGTTTCATATTAAGAAGAGAATTAAGGAGCTACAGAAGTGCCTCTATCAAGTGACTTTGTGTTAAATTACCAAAATTGGTATTTAGCATGGCATACTGGCAAAATTAGCAATCCTCCTGTCAACACGCACCTCCAGGAAATTCCAAGAGGTCCCCTGGCAGAGCCCAGAAACAAATGGAGAAGGGCAAAAATATATCTGGTGTGACCACACAAACTGCACCCAAAAAGGCACCACTCTTGTCATTTTTTCCTTCTCTTTTACACCAAGTGAGCTTGCACAGCATCAGCAAGAGTCCTACCTGTGCATGACTTGTGAGTCAGGAAGAGCCTCTCTGTGTCTTTAGGGACAAGCTCAGTCTCTCCTCATTTGGAAGGTCTGTCCTGCTTGCACACACCACATTAATAAAGGGCTGCTGACGTGTGACATGAGGCACAGAACAATATTTCATGCCACTGAGAAATTAATTCAGTTCTGCTCTCTTCTCTTGGGGAATATTTGACATCGCGGGCGCGTGGAAAAGAAATGAGAACAGGCCTGGAGTTTGGAAGTTGCTACTGTCCTTAATAATAGGGATTTTTAGTGCTCTGAATAAAAAGGGAACATCTCTAGGCCCTGAACAGACTCCTGTTTTTCCATGGGTGTGCTGGGCTCCTGGGAGATGGAAGACCAAGGGCACCTCTACAGGCATTTTGTCCCTGGCAGTGAATGTAGTGATAATTACCCCTCTCTGTCCCATAAGCCACCACAAAATACACCTCAGCAGAGGAGGTGTATGAACTTCAAAGTTGTTTTTAATGTCTTTCAGTAATACTGG